CGTCCCCGACGTCGGTGAACCAGTTCCGCTGAGCCCCTGTCCCGTACAGCTGGGGCACCGAAGTCGAGGTGAGCTCCCGATGCTAACGCCGCTTGCCGTGTAACCTCTACCGTGGCCTATTGGCCGGAACGCCGCGGTGCCGAGGTGCTCTGTCTTGCCGGAGCCGCCGCGGTCGCGTGCGCGTGTGTGAGTAACCTGCCCGCGCCCGTTTAGTCCTCTGGGTGTGTTCGCAGAAGTGTGGCGAGGGTGTTGGTACCCTTATAGGCGCCGGTTATATCATCGGTGGCCGTAACCGACCTCGCCGGAGATAGCCGGGTCGCCGGAGGCTTGTTCGTGCTCACTATCGGCCGCGAGGGAGGGGGAAAAGTGTACCAGGCGATGCGGAATGGAGAGGCGAGTTCAGATGCGCCCTTGGTTTCGTTGCGGAATTCACCAGCGGTGGACTCCGGCCGGCCGGGGCCGTCGCCGTCGTGCACGGTCGGAACAGGGGAGGAAGAGGCAGTCCTGGGCCGCCCGCGCTCTTGGGCCTCGACTGCAAGCTGGCCGGCTCGGGCCAGCCTGAGAGAAAGAGAGAGGGAGAGGAGATCTGGGCCGTCGGAGCCGCTGGGCCGGGCCAAGAGAGAGTAAAGGGGGGTTTCCTCCTTTTCTATTTTCAGAAATTCTTTTAAAGTGATGAAGCTTATAAAATTTGTAACTAAATAATTAATGCTGGTAAAATTGTGAAAATTTTTGTATGTTCTGTTTAGTATGTGATTAATATAATAAAAATATAAAACTGAGAAAAACAATAAGTTGCTATGTTCAAAAATTCCATGCTTTAATTAAGAAATGCAACTTACATGATTTTTGTAGCTTAAAATATAATTCCAAAATTCATGAAATTTTATGAGTATGTTTAACTTACTGTTAGGAATCTAAACAAAAAGTTTGGCACTGTTTGAAAATAAAATGAACTGGTCACTCAAATAGACTTGATTTTATGAATTAATAAAATATGAAAACATTTTCTGGAAATCCTTTAAATGGCTGAATTGTGCATTTGGGATTGATTGTAGACCTTGGAACATTTTACCCTTACTGTTCCAAGGCATTATTATTGAATGGTTAATTCATATCTTTTCACCATGTTAATCTATACTACTTAAATGTAATAAACACCTTTTAACTATGAGATGTTAAATGTTGCTTTGTGAGGTAATTAACTTGTAATTAGCGAAGGAAAGTTGTACTCAAGTAGATAAATTGATAAGTCACTTTATTACATGTTTTATGCCATGTAAGCATCATCATTGAAGCATGCATCTTTATTTAACGTATAGTGAACGAGTGTGGAGAACCGCTAGTTGAGCCGACCTCTGAGGCGGGTTATCACTCAGAGGTAGTTGGGTTGGAGAGTGGAGCTGATCTTGTTACAACTGACAACCCCGACATTGTAGGCAAGCCCCGAAGCATAAACCATTCCTCGTGTTTTATAAAATGTTTATCACATAAGTCTTATGAATGTTGCATTTAAGTATTAGGAGTGGAATGTTAACCTTCTGATGCATGGCTACCTTGTTATCCTTCTCACCCATGGTAATACTGTTAAAGTATTATTTGCAAAATGCTTAGCCCCGCTTAGATGAAAAAATGCTATTAAGTAAGTTTTCTAAAGCTATATATGTGAACCTGAAGTGTGAGGATGATCATGTTTTATAAATCTAGACCGGGCAGAATCTTGGCTTGCGCCCAGTATGGATCTGGACGTAGTGACCCCGCCTGTGTCGATCAAGGACCGATTGTTGTAGAGCTGTCTATGATCGTGACTTGCAGTACTGGCCACATACTCCGGTAAGCCCAGCATCTGGGCTATTCTTGTATGGGAAACGATAACCGCGCACTGGGAGTGGAGAGATGGCGGGAGTACCGTGTAACACACTCCTGTGAATCCGTCACGGACCAAAGAAACAGTGAAGTGGGTACTGTGCTCTCGGGTAGCGCTGGACCGGTTCCCGCATAAGAGGATCCGAGTGAGGGTTGATATATGCAGGCACGGGTCCGGACCTGGACCTACATATGTCGTGTGGTAAGGAAACCCCAGCTAGGCCAAACCGATTCGAATCGCTGTTGCTTCTCGGTGAAGAAGACTCGATCAACTGTGTTGCATCGTAGTTAATCAATTGGAACTTTAGTTATGAGATCATATTGTGATGGTTTATAAGAAGTGCTTGGAATTAGAATAGATGCTAATGATAGTTCTTAATATTAAATTGAAGTATAAAACTTGGAAAGTAAGGATCCACTTTAGTGCAGTTTTCCGCAAAAGTGTTCTTGATCTTGCTACAGACTCATCTTGATTCCCCATACCTTGCATATCCTTGGAGTCTTACCCTTTCGTCGGTTAAGTCTTGTTGGGTACCTTAGTACTCAGGGTTTGTTAAACCCTTGTTGCAGATGAACAGCATGAGCAGGCTAGCTCTAGCCTCTGCTACATGTTGGTTCGTGAGGAAGAGTCCCATCAGTGAGATGTTGGAGTGCACCCTGGGCAGGGTGAAGTTCTTTTGGTGATCTAATATATAAGGGACGTACCCTTCTTTTGCTACCCCACTGCCTGTATGGCAAAACTACGGTATGTAATAATTATGGTTTGTAATAAACTTATCATTGGTTTGTAAACTACGTTAGTGTAAGACTTTCGCTGTACTCTGATGTAACAAATTTATAAATTATGTATCACTGTTGTAATCCTGCAATGCTACTGTAATGGATCCTGCTCGAAAGATGAAACGTGGATGATTCGGGTTTCCCGAGGACACCCGACAGACTTTCAGAGTTGTAGAGCACTCATGTGCTGCTATCAGAAGTCTGATGGACAATGATAGGCATAGGTGGGCCATATGACTTAGGAGGTTCTTTTCCCTTAAACAAACCATGTTTCGAATGCGGCCCATGCACAGTTGAGATTGAGGTAGAACAGCCGATCTAGCGGGATTAATCGTCATCTTTTAAAGATTTAAAACATGTAGCATGCGAGAGGCGATTAATCAAAGTAATATGATGTCGATCTATCTCAATCTAACTGGATGATATTGTTATAATTAAATAAGCATTAATTATAACAAGATCGATAACTAGTTTATACCAGGTTTGTAGTGGAGATCGGACCTAACCGAGACAGTCGTACAAACAAGATGTAAACCGATAACTAGTTCATACCAAATTCGTAGTGGAGATCGGACCTAACCGGACAGTCATACGAACAAGATATAAACCATGACGGTACTCATAGGCAAGCCGGAGGTCGATTGACCGATGCAGCTCTTGCTTGCTGAAGAACTCGTCGAATCTACTCTATTCCTATTCCTAGGGTTAGCATGGGGCCAAAAAGTAAAGGTACTATTTTGATTGATGTGTGGATGTCCTTTGTTACAATGCCTGGGGTTTATATTTATACCCGAGGTTCTATTACAACTCCTACTCAAACACGACTCATTTAAGATTTCCCAAACTCCAAACGAAGACCTCCTACTCAAAACGATAACATGGACTCTAAACCTTCCCTTTCTGTAGAGTCCGGAGCTTTTTCCCCTTGATGTCAACCCAACTTCGACCTAAAAGTTTTCTCTGCTGACGTCAGGTCCGATTTGGCATATGTTTTAATCGACTCTCTTGTTTAGCCGATCCTCCATCGATTTGCTTCTGGATTTTTTGGGCTTCTGCGTCCAAATTTTGGTGCAAACAGGCGCTCACTCTTGCTTGCCGTTCACTTCGCCGCCGACCAGTTGGTTGGATTGTTCATCGCATGGGCTTCATCGTCAACTATGCTGAGGACTCGCCAGCTACGCTGGGACCCTCGGCGTTCGGATTCTTCGTCGCTTCATCGTCAGCTACGCTGGGGCTCGCTAGCTACGTTAGGGACTTCTCGGCGTTCGGATTCTTCGTCGTTTCATCGTTAGCTACGCTGAGGGCTCGCCAGCTACGCTGGGGACTCCTCGACGTTCGGATTATTTGTCGCTTCATCGTCAGCTATGCTGGGGCTCGCTAGCTACACTGGGGGACTCCTTAGCGTTTAGATTCTTCGTCGCTTCATTGTCAGCTATGCTGGGTACTCCTCGGCATTTGGATTCTTCGTCGCTTCATCATCAGCTACGCTGCGGGCTCGCCAGCTATGCTGGTGACTCATCGGCATTTGGGTTCTTCGTGGATCTTGCTACGTCTCATCGGTGTGCTGTCAAGTTGCTCCATGCTGTTCGGATCAAGGTGATGATCTTGGGCAGGTGCTGCATCTGTAGACCCGTCAAAAACCTAGGCGCTCGCAGTGGGATCTTATCCAATTACTACTCCTTTTTGGTGCTGGAGCTGAGGCGACGCTTGCCGGACGGCAAGGAGCTTGAGCTAGCCAGGCGCGGTGAAGTCAACTACCAAGGTGTATTCGATGAGGGATATAATCGAGACATCTACTTCATCCAGTAGTCGTCATCTTCTACTCCACTGTAGTAGTTAGTGGAATGGAAACTTTTTTTGTAAGTTTCAAAAAAAAAGTTTTTGCAACATGATCAATGTCAATCACAAATGCAGCTCAATCGTTGCATTAAGATTTGCACAAAGGTCGTTTCAAAAAGAAAAAAAATATTTGCACAATGTACCATAGGTTGTGCTTGAATCGGTGGCTAAGTGTTTGAATCGGTGGCAAGCGTGAACAGCGATATGTAGTATCAATGCAATGGCGACTTCTGGTCAGTGGTCACCACCAAATGTGTGAACCCCTTTATCTAACAAAAAAATGTGTCAACCAGATAAAAAAAGGAATAAAAACAAGAGCTCAATTGAGCTAGCTTGGCTCTTGAGTAAATAGCCAATTAGGCATTCAAAGTTCACTAGGACTACAACATATCCAACACTCAGAGCATTCATAGTTTATAAAAGACATAAAGAACCATAACAGTTCTTCAATCAAGGACCACAAATACTTGAGGACTTCACAATGATTCTAGCTAGTGAAACCTTCGATGTAAATTCATCTACTGCTTGATGTCAGCCCTTTTTTTCTGCCACAGCCTATCCAAAGAACTGTCCGCGTCACCCTGCAAAACCAATGGTGTAAGAATCTCGGACAAGTTTGCATATCCATCTTGGTCAACTAAGATATATAATATTCATGCAAGACAAGTATCAGTTAGATCTTTCTTTTCTCATCAGAAAGTTGAAATCATGGTGTGTAACTGAAAGAACGCTAGCGCTACAGCTAACTCACGAACATTCACCATGAGATTTCAGACCATCCTAGATAAAACTGTTCAGAGGATAAACACAGGCATTTTTTATAATATCATTTTAACGGCAAATTCATACTGAGACCAGATCTAGTCAACAAGCAGGGGTACAGTACCTGAGCGCGGACGAATCCAAAGAGAGCAAATGTGGTGAAGTTGCCATCATACAACCCATTCTGATCCAAGTGCCCAATATTGATCGGGACTGAGGCATGGTCCTTGGCAGTGATGATCCTGTTTGTGGCAGAGCTGCAAGGAACGACACAGATCAGTAAGAATGAGAAGGATTGCCATGGCATTGCTGTTTCAACAAGGTGTCAGACAGAGAACATGACTGCACATACCACTTCCTAGGGACATAGAGTTCCACCATCTTACCCTCCTCGTTCTGCATGATGGCGAATAGAGGGATCCGGCAACACTACTGATATCCATAGTAAAAAGAAACAGCTAGTTAGGAACATAACCAATCAAAATGAGCGTTTTTATTAAAGATAACTTTGTTCAGTGCCAAACTAGTGCTAGAATCGAATTATGGATTTTTGTAAAAGCTTTGTAGCATTGTCTATTCCAATATCACAATACCAACAGCCAAAGTCCATTGCAGCCAAGGCGACCTCACGCAAAAAATCAATAAGATTTTTTTTTGCGACCATACATTGCATGTATATCATTAAGAAGGAAATATAGTTGTTACAAAGGGAAGCATTGCCCGGCCTAGAATGCGAGTGGCACGCTACGGCCGATCTACGCCAACCCTGCAACAGTAGCCAAGAACGGACATTTGAGTACTACCTGAGAAATAATTTGGCGACGTTCCGAGCGACGGCAATCAACCCAACTCTGTGGACGCCCACAGCGTGGCGAGGTGACCATAGCTAGCCTGCAACCAACGTTCAACCAGATTCAAATGTAAAAATCAACAAGATAAGCAAGCTATCATGTATGGTATGGAGAAACAGTTATGATCAAATTCAAATGTAATCAATCCACCATACATATTGAAGGCATTTCATCCCAACATACAAATCACTTCAGTTGGACAGTTACGCGGAGACTTCTCTCACCCCATTGCACAAACAAGACTGTAGAGTTGCCTCACTAACCAGATTTTACAGGAACAAAAACAACCTCTCTCTCTCTCTCTCACACGTTCTAATCATCAGACAGTGCGGACGCGATTATAAGTACTACACCCGCAGCTTGTGATGCAATGCAAATCATGCATCAACAATTTTCACAGATCGGAAGCAGTACAGAACTACTATTGCACAAACTTTGCGACAAGAACAAAATAGACAAACCGGTACGAATTTAAGTAGGTTCGCCGCAAACTGGCGCACAATCAGATTAAGACAGGAATCATAGAGGAGATCGAAAGGATTCGGGGGACGAGGAATCACGGCGCACCTCGAGAAAGGATGGAGACGACGGGTGTTGCTGCGGCGGCGACGGCGGTGTGACAAGCATTGATGAGAGAAAGTGATCGGGAATTCGGATTGGTTCTTTTTAGATACGGCTAGAGACGTCTATAGAGGCAGCTACACCGCCCGTCTCTATGTCTCTCTAGAAATTACGCCTGTTGATTGAGCTGTCTCTGGTATAAATCGGTGCCCCTTTAAAACCATTTATGTAGTAGTTTTGGAACACACGAAAAATTCTTTAATCCTGTTTTTTTTTCATGTGAAATTTTTGTACGATTCATATGAAAATCTTGCGTTACAAAGGAACCCGTTATTATTAAAGGTAATTGCAAGAAATGTTAGATGGGAGAAACATATATCCTGTTGGTGGAAGTCAATGCTAAACTGACAATCATGACCATGTTAATATGATTGGAAGAATTATTTTTGGGAAAAAACATATATCCTGTTAGTGGAAGCCCAGTCCTCCTACCTAGCAAGGGGAGCTCCCCCAAAAGTCAAATGGCAACTGGAGGCCCGCCTGTCCAAATGATTCCGATCCTCCTTCGGCCGTCAGTCCTCTGTTTTTAAAACCTCTCGTCTGCTCAGCGCGGCCTTGCCGACCAGATCACAAGTTCACAGCTCAACGCAAGAGAGAGACGCCCAGCATGTCTGCCACGCCACGAACCATGGCACGGCACTCGCGCGTCCCGCTCCTGCTCGCCCTCGTCGGCACGCTCGCGGTGGCCGCGGCATCGGCGTCGGCCTACGCGCGCGCCGCCGACGCCGAGACGGAGCTTCTCATCGGAGACGACGACGACGTGCTCGGGCTGGGCGGCAGGCGGCGGCTCGACGACGCGAACGCCAAGGGCCTCGACGACGGCAACGCCACGAGCATCATTGACGCCGCTGTCACGGGGACGGGGTTCATCAGCTACGCCGCGCTGTCCAGGGACAGCGTGCCGTGCTCGCTGCCCGGCGCGTCCTACTACAACTGCCGCCCCGGCGCGGAGGCCAACCCCTACAGCCGCGGCTGCTCCGCCATCACGCAGTGCCGCGGCTGAGCCAGCTGCGACGGCGAGCGAGACTGGTAGGCTGCTCTGCTAGCTGTGTGTTCCGCTTCTGCCATTGCCGCCGCTAGCTGCTTGCATTGAACGCGCCCTCCTTGCTTTCGTTGGTGCTTGCGTTCTCGATCTTCCTGATGATTCCCAAGGAACTGAACAGAGCAGAGGTTTTACCATTTGCTGCAAATCGTTGCTATTCTTGTGAGAAGATTAAGAATGACGTTTGTATTTTGTGTGATGTGTTATGTGTATGACCATGTCCAATATAAGTTTTGATTGATTCTTACAGCATTCAAGATGAATTGTTCCATGGATGCAATGCAGTGTGTGTCTGCTTTTTGTGATGGTGCTGGTTTGCCTTTCGTTCTGTGGACAACTTGATGTTGTGCATTATATTGGCGTGATTGATCATGCAACGCCAGATTTCCTTCAGACCAACACTTCAGCTTTTCACTCAGCCATGCCCATGCAAAAAGAACTGAACATTCATTCTAAAAAAATGCAGCATTCTGAGCTCAGACGATCTCTGCCTCTTTTTTTGATTAAATAAAGGGATATAACATTCGAATGAGTATAGTCGGTTAGTATAGATCCATGGTGCTTAGCCCACACTCCACCATACGGTCTCTGCCCTTGACTGCTTAGTTAACGAATGAACGTCTAGTTCCTTCATTTTACACAACTTAAGGCCTCGTTTAGTTTGCTACGTTGAGCTGTTGAGCAACTGCAATGAAACTAAAACGGTGTGGCATTGTCTTCGCGTTCGTTTGTTCATTGCGTCTAGCTTTTCATCCCAGCGGTGCGTATGCGAAATTGCGAATAGTAATATGGTAGTTCGGTTGTGAGTCTGTCGGCAGCCTTTGTTGACGATTGTGCAGCGGCAGCTAGCAATGTCAACGATAGGTTGTTGCCAAGAGCTGCAAACAGGCAGACATCAGGACATACAAGCTGTACAGGGACTGCTGTTCCACTACTTGGATGATTAGCGGTTGACCCGGCTCAGACAGAGGACATGCCATTCTCTAATGTTTTTTTTTTCTTCTTCTTTTCTTTATAGCAGTAGTATTTACGTATGGCAGTTCAGGGGATGCTGGAACAAAATACTCGGCAGTTGGAGATGTTTATTGATCTTGATCCAACCATGGAAGCAAAATATCCATAGGGATCTTCAGCCGCTTTTTTCCTTCATTTCTTTATCTGGAAACTCCCATACGTGTATACCATGGATTGAGGCCGTGAGTGTTTGATAGTGCTAAAAAACGTAAGGAATGCCCTTTCACGGTTTGATAGTGCTCGCCAACTCTTACAACATCAAACTATTTCATTATTAAAATTCACGTAGCATATGATCTCTAGGTGCATGTATTTGAACTTATAGATGCTAATATATTTTTTTTCTAAAAATTAGTCAAAAGCTAGAGAGATCTAATTTGGAATAGATTTAAAATAAACTATAACTTGAAACAGAGGAGGAGGTAGTATCTTAAAGGATTTTATGTTTGTTTTAATTTTAATATGCATCTGTTTAGAAGTTATTTCATATGTTCATTGCTCATGAGGGCTTTGTTTGGATGGACTCATATCCACCTCAATCCACAGAGTTGAGTACGAGTACATCAAAACAAGCGATGAACTAAAACATGATATTTCAAACACTCATTACCGTTGCTTTTTTGTCTTTGAAAGAATCGACGATAGTGTTCGGTTCATGTAACATTATATTGTATTTTCCTAATAGACAAGGCCGGCTATAACTATGGTTCACACTTGAGGACCATAGTTACCTTTCTGCTAACATCTTATTTTACTATTACTAATCGGAGGCCCTAACGGAGCCTCCACATTAATCCTCACCAGACGTGCTAGAAAAAAAGATAAATACTAGAAAATCTCACATTAATCAGAAACATCTGGCCATCAAATAAAAAGACTTAGCCATCTATGACCATTGAATCTATTTTATTTTGTACAAAATTACCCACCTCTGCCATTATATTAAACAAAATCTATTTTCTAAAAAAAGAAAATCTTTGGCCATATAAAAAAATCTCGATCCACGTTACACACGTTGGGGAAAATCTTTGGTCGTATAAAAAATGTCGATCCACGTTACACACATTCGTTTCATAGGTTGTTAATATAAAATATTTTTTTTGAAAATTTGTTAATATAAAATATTAGATTTGCCTTGGCCATATAGAAAAAAAAATCTCGATTACTAATCGGAGGCCCCAACGGAGCCTCCACATTAATCCTCACCAGACGCGCTAGAAAAAAAGATAAATGCTAAAAGATCTTACATTAATCAGAAACATCTGACCATCAAATCAAAAGACTTAGTCATCTATGACCATTGAATCTATTTTATTTTGTACAAAATTACTCACCTCTGCCATTATATTAAACAAAATCTATTTTCTAAAAAAAGGAAATCTTTGGCCATATAAAAAAATCTCGATCCATGTTACACACGTTGGGGAAAATCTTTGGTCGTATAAAAAATGTCGATCCACGTTACACACATTCGTTTCATAGGTTGTTAATATAAAATATTTTTTTTGAAAATTTGTTAATATAAAATATTAGATTTGCCTTGGCCGCATAGAAAAAAAATCTCTCGATCTACATTACACACGTTCGTTTCGTAGTTGGTTATTAATATAAAATATCCGATTGGCCTATCTAATATTAATATAAAATATCAGAATCCATCACGTTTAGGGGATCTCCCCTGATCGTCCCAGGTGAAAAGGAGTCATGGAGGGGGTGGAGGGGATGTTGAAGAGTTTGAAGTTGACGGAGGCGGAGAAGAAGAGTGTGCGGATTGGTGATGAGGCGGTGGGGGGGTTCATCGGAGGTCATCTGAAGGCGTTCGGGAAAGTGCTTTCGGAGAAGGCTGTTAGGGCAGAAACAATTGAGCAGGCTGT